AGACGAAGTCTTGCTGTCTTAGTTATCTAGTGCTGCTATAACAGAAGTACCACAAGTGGATGGTTTTAACGAAGACAAGTTTATTTCCTCACGGTCAGAGTAGGCTAAAAGTCCAAATTCAGGGCGTCACCTCCAGGGGAAGGCTTTTTCTCTCTGTCGGCCTTCTTCTCTTCGGTGTTCCCCTGGACTAGGAGCTTCTCTGTGCAGGGACCCCGGTCCAAAGGACGCGTTCTGCTCCCAGCACTGCTTTCTTGATGGTGTGAGGTCCCCCTGTCTCACTGCTCACTTCTCTCTGTTTTATCTCCAGAGATTGCCTCAGGACACATACCAGTCGTGTAGATCCAGTCCTGCCTTACTAACACAACTGCCACCCATCTTCCCTCATTAACATCATAGAGGCAGGATTTACAACATATAAGAAAATCACACAGTACCAGGAATCATGGCCCAGCCAAACTGATATACACATTTTTGGGGGGACATAATTCAAACCATGACACTCGCCATCCTTGCTTCTAAGGAGCATTCTGGCTACTTCTTCCAAGACAGATTTGTTCATTCTTTTGGCAGCCCATGGTATATTCAGTATTCTTCTCCAACACCATAATTCAAAGGTGTCAATTCTTTGGTCTTCCTTATTCAGTGTCCAACTTTCACATGCATACGAGACGATTGAAAACACCATGGGTTGGGTTAGGTGCACCTTAGTCCTTAAAGTGACATCTTTTCTTTTTAACGCTTCTTAACACAGTATAACAAACTGACAAACTTGTGATGGTAGAGGGTCTTAGGTCATTCTGAAATTGTTTTATTCTCTTTGAAACCTAGGAATTGTATAACTACAGTTAGCTTTGCTACCCAGTATTTAGTATAGCATTACTATCCAATACTTCGTTAAAACTTGAAAATTTGTGGGTCTCGGTTATATGGAAGGGTCCAATTAAAAAAAAAAGAAAAGTGTCCTTTGCAATTGTGTTTGGAATCCACTGTGAGAGATGCAAGAACCAGACAGATGGAGATTATAATGTTCGTCTTATTCTTGATAAACTGATTGGAAACATTTGAGGCCAGAGGAGCTTGATAACTCCCCCATCCCTAAATTATTCAGGCTCACCCAGTCAGTGGCAGCCTCTTATAAGACACGACAGAGGGACAGCCAGAATGTACCCTCTCTCTAGGCATGCTGGCCTTGAAAGAAACTGAGGTGTGTGTGTCCAGTGTCTTTTTCTACATTCACTGACCCATCACTAACGGCTTGAATGAGAGACCAGATCCCTCCACATGGTAAGATGAGGCATGGGGAATAAGTGTTCCCTTAAATTATTAGAAGGGATACGCCCTAAAATCTTTGAGAATTTCCCCGCCATTCATATGGTATTCCTTTGTAAAATTAGATAATGTAATCTTTTGAAAAGGAATAGGAAGGTGTTAATCACATAGGACCTAAACTTAATCTATTGACTAGGTATAGTACGTCTACAAATATAAGGCTGATTGACTTGTTTCCCAGATTTTAATCCTTTGTGTTTGTGTCTGTTGATTTCACAAAGTTTATTGTTACCACTAAAATTCTGTTTACCTTCATATTGGAGAAAATATTTTAAGGATAATATCAGCCTCTATCTGAATAACTTCCCTAGTGTTAGTATCTGTAAGAAAATGCATAATGTTTGAAATACTGCCTTTAAGAGATATACTACTGAGTTCAGATTTGTGATCTCATAGGCATTAAAAAATGTAAGTCGGGTGGCTGATTTTTGAGCTGGAATGTGTACCATTGGCAAGTCTAATTACAAGTCCTATTACAACAAATATTACTAAAACTTATCTCCGTATTAAAGCCCTTGAAATCCAAAGCTATAATTAGATATTACAGATAATATCTAAAGTGACTTGCTGGTTGAACAAAAGGACTTGCACACTCCTTTAAAATTTATTGAAGTGGAATTTCTTGTTAATGGACCCTATTAATGGAGAATGGTGCTAATGGGACTGTTTTATGTAGAGGATTAGATATGGATCCAGGATTGTTTTCTTGTCTGAGAACATGGGTTAATTTCTTAGAACGTCGATCCCTTGCTTGTTTATTGGGTGAACCCAAAGAAGAGAATGAGAGATGTTTTGATTATGTATTTCCCATATAGAGCTCTTATATTTTAGAAGGAATATAAGGGTATAAGTTTATAGGCTGAACTTACTGACAGAACAAGAGCATTGGAATAACTGTTACAGGTTTGTGGAGTCAAGTTGAACTAATTTTCAGGCAAGAATTGATAATGAAAAGACTTTGAGAATTTCTGATACTGTCCAGTAGAAATAACGCTTGAATCTTACTTGACAAATTTGCCTCAAAATCAAAAACCGAAATTAAGGTTTTGGCCACTTGGTACAGCTGCCTCCATGATAGACTGCTAGAGTTTAATGGTAAAGCGTCAGGTCAGACTTCAGATGTAGTCCGTACAGTGCTGTGTCTACATGTAATCCTTCTTTGGAAGCCATCTTGGTTGCAGTAACTATTAAAGCAGTAACTGTGACATAGATTCATTTTTACAGGAAAGATTGCCAGCCTATTATTAGTGAAGACTGTATCAACATGTCTGGGAGTTGTCATAACAGTAGCATGTTTTTCTGTGGTTTATGTAATTCTGTTCCTGTCTTAATGTATTCATGGAACTCTGGGTAGTAGTTACATTCTCCTGCTTTATTGGGATATAATTCACACGCTATGTATTTCACCCATTTAAAGTAAATTTCACTTGCTTTTAGTATATGCACAGAGTTGTGTATATATAACTTTAATTTTTGAACATTTTCATTAGCCCAAGAAGATCTGATAGTCGTCAACATGTTCACTTCCAAAAGAAAAAAAAAAGAACCTTATCCAGAAACCATCCAGCATACTATATTATCCCTTAGCCGTTAGCACTGTTAGTAGAAATATTCCATAATGCTAAAATTCAGTCTTTAAAGCAATGGAGATAATATTGTAACTCTTGTCATTCTGTGATTTTATATAGTAATGAAATAATCATTTATTTCATTTTATTTCTCCAGATTGGTAGCAAGAAGCAGTCTTGTATAACATAATATCATCATGAGAGTGGTATCCCATTACCTTTGCCATATTTTATTGGTTAGCCACACGTCATAGACAGGTGCCACCCACATTCAGAGAGAGGGGTTTGCACAAAGGTGTGAACACAAAGATGGGGACCATGGGGACCAGTTTACAGCCTGCTTGCCACAGCCCTTAAATTAGTAAATACTTAAAAAACGTTGCTTCAGTTTATAAGTAATTTTAATTAACTTTTTTCAGCCGTCAGCAGTAGACCAGTGTTAGATGTTTTAGCAGTGATTAAATTGAGCCATAGAAATGGTGTTTAATTGCCAATGATCATAGAGCAATAATCATATTACATGGAGCTTCCTTGTGTTAGGATGTTTTTTGGCTTAATCTGTCTACTTCAAGGAAAAAAAGAAAAAGAAAAAATTAGTCACTGGGCTTGATATACATGCCCAGATCTGATTTCCATCTTAAAAGGTCAGTTCAGGCTTCACCTCTATGCCTAAACAGGTTTTTGTGAGTTGTTACTTATGCCACTGATTTCTGGGCGCCTTGTGATTCTGAGTGCTAGAGTATCAAATAATATGGAAAAGTATTATATAATAATATGAAAAGTATTTATGTGAGTGAAAGCTGATATTGTGATTCATTAACATTATGATTTGAGAATTTGGCATTTGGAATGCTAGTTCGCTAAGTGATTGTTTGACAAATTATATTGATCTTTGAACTAGAACTCTGAATCTTGCTTATTAGTATATATGATTATTCTGAGGAGAGAGTTTAAAATTCTTAATATTTTGAGAACCTTAAAAGTAGCTATAAGAAATAATTAATTTGAAAAGACATTCTTAAATTTTGGAAGACGAAAACTAAAAAACAAACACTTAGACTTTTATTGTTTGTATCGGCAGATCAGATTTTATAAGAGATTATAATCATTTTAATATAAAATTGAAAAATGTAGTTGATACTCAGTGGAATCTTTTTTTTCGTCTATGTGGCACTTTCTAGTTTGATATCGTTCATTCCTACACACTGGTGTATGTGTATGTGTGCGTGTTCGTGTGTGTGTGAGAGAGAGAAAGATTGATTGATTTCGTATTAATCATTTTTCGTCAGATTTGCTTTTCTGCAAAGCATGGTTAGGAGTTAATACTTTGATCTCCAGGTTTGGATTTTGGAGGTGGTATTTTTATTTAAAGAAAAATTGTAATGACTGAGCTCTTTTGTCCATGAGTTATTCATTTTTCACCCCATTTTTTAATGTATTGAGCAAGGGTTAAAAGGTTCCATGTTGAATATCACATGAGAGTTTTCCTCTTAGAGCCCGCTGGCTATTCATTTAACTGTTCCTCCACTTCAGCATGGCATTAACAAGAACAGGGCAGGATTCTAAAGCAGTAGTTTCCAAACTTTGCTGCACGTTGGAAACATCTGGTGGATCTTTAAAAATGCTGATTTCTGGCTACTATTCCTAGATTTTCTGATTTAATTGCTGTGGGATGGTCCGTGGACTTCAGGATTTTTAAAGTCTCCCCAGGTATTTCTAATGTGCAAAGTTTGGGGAACCACTGAACTAACTAAGGGTGGAGGCCCTGCAGTAATTAACGCTGGGCAAGGTAGGATAAGAACTTTTTGGAAATCAGGTTTTCAACTCCTGAGATTCTGCATCTCATAGTGCAGTTTTGCAAAGTTTCAAAAATTTATTCAGAAATGAACACAGGTCTGCAGAATTAGTTTCAAGTCTTTCTTAATTTTTTTTTTAGTGTGTAAAAAACAAAACAAACGAACAAACCTCAAAAACCTGGAGGTCAGACTGTTTTAGTAACTTACGAGAAAACCAAATTTCCTGTACAGTAATCAGTGCTAGCTAAGAGGAAAAAGTTAAAACATATTTAAAATGTGGAAAAATTGCTTCCCAATATTTTAACAGAGAGAGACTGAGAACACACAGCATTGAATCATCAGGAAAACTGAAGATCTCCCCTGAACAACACTGGGATTTCACTGCAGAGGACTTGAAAGACCTTGGAGAAATTGGACGAGGAGCTTATGGTTCTGTCAACAAAATGGTCCACAAACCAAGTGGGCAGATAATGGCAGTTAAAGTAGGTGATGCCCATAATTATTTTTGGTTCTTTAATCTATTAGATCAAACTCAATGGTGCCGTAATACCACTATTGTTGTGTTCTTACTTTTTTGGTAAATATGATTGCTTAAAAAATTATTTCTCAGAGTATTTTTTTTTTAGGATGTTTCATATAGACGTTCTCTTATTGGCGGCACATTTTCTGTCTCTCTGGAATCATGACTATATGAAGTGTGCATGTACATTGCACTTTTGGCATGATGCATTAACGTGTTTTAAACTTCAGGCCTTCCACTGCCAAGGTGAGTTCAGGCCAGGTGTCCGCACCCTGGGAGCAGGGCAGTGCTGCACTGAGCCAGGCGGGGAGCTGGAAGAAGAGGCAGCACACTGGGTTGGGCAGGGTGCGGGGCTAGGGCTAACAGCAGTCTCACTGAAGGTTTCCTGGAAACCACACACATGCTGTTGCCACTAACCTCAACCTTACTCGGTCCTGACCAGCTCGGCTACTGTTTATTTCATTTCATCTCAACTCAGTACTGCCCTGTTCCCTGGTTTTAAAGTTATATTGAAATGCATACCTTGTGATTATCCTGTCACATTCTGTCCTTATTGTGAGTGTCATGCCACTTAATATGTTCATTAAAAAAAAAAAAAGAATGGCCAGGAATGGAGACTGGTCCGTTTAGACTGTACCTGTCAGGCTTATGTCGGTGCCTGTAATGAACTGGTGGTTTCCTGCTGACTCCTAGGGGGTCCGTGTAATTTATTCATTTGTTTGTTCGATATCTAATGAATGAATGCTCTGCTTAAGATATTTTGAGAAAATTGAGAAGGGGGGCTACTTCAAAAGAAAACGTGAACTTCAAATTTCTATTGTAACAAATAATATCCCAGTTTACAAAAATTAAGAATGAATTTGCAAAGACAGTTAATCGTCTTCCTGTTAAATTCCTATTTTGAGAGTTTGTTAAAGTGGTATGAAGAGAGGAGAGGCCTCAGTTTTTTGCTTAACTTTTGGGGGTGGATTTATATCATATTAATATAAAATGCTATCTGTGTGAAAGTGTGTGGTGAGCAAAATATTACCGTACCTTTCTTAGCCTCTTTAATTTTGAGCATTTCTCTTTGCTAGGTCATGTAAATTTATTTTTATTTATTTTTTTAAAATTGTACTTCAGGTGAAGATTTACAGACCAAATTGTTTTTCATTAAACAGTCAGTACACATACTGTTTCATGACATTGGTTAACAACCCCATGACATGTCAACCCTCTCCCTTCTTGACCTTTTTAGGTCATGTAAATTTAATGATAAATTGTGGTGAAAAATTTTATGATTCTCTCTATGACTTCTTAGTCTTGTTTTTGGTCATATTTCTTTTTCAGTGTGAAGAGAACTATGGACTTTTTTCTTAGGAAAATGCATAGTACATATAATTTTGCATGTAACCCGTAGACCTCTAAAGATACATAGGCTGAGAACCTCTGCTCTGGATTATCTTTTGAAATAAAGTGTTGTTTTCCTTGGAATGTGAAATGATTTTTCTATTCTTATTTTGTGTTACTGCAGTATAAGCGGGAGGAAAGTCATTTTATTTAGACTTTTGGATTAGTGTTGCATTGTCGTTATGTACTTACTATTCATGTATATTATCCAATTTTGGCTGGCTCATTCTTAAGGGAAAGCTTTCATATATAGCTGAAGTTCTAAACTTTTCTCCCAGGTGCTAGGGAAAGTATTAAAAAATTATTTTCTACTTTTTCAGTCTGTGCTATGTGTGCTTCATGATGTTGATCAGCATCATAATCTGTTTTAGTAATACGCATTAACTTTAGCTATGGTTAGTATATTTTAGAGGTAAAGTAAGGAAGGTACTTCATTTTGGCGTAAAATTTTTTTCTCATGATTAATTTAATGTTACAAGATTTGGAACTGTATAATGCCTACTCTGTTTTGAAGAAATTTAAGCGTGAAACTAGGAAATTATTGTTCACTGTTTGTAATCTGACCTTATAAGTGGGTGCTGTGAGAACCCTGGTTGAAATGCTATTAAAAATTCCCAACTTTTAAGAAGTGCTTCCAAGGCAGTCATGGGACCTACAGATTACAGATCTGTACCCATCAGATGGTACAGTCCACCTTTGTTTACCACCCCGAATTCTTGAGCAAGCCTAAGAGCTTAGATGGTAGAGAGTGGTGATATGTGGATAGGGATTTCTATTGGATTCCTTGACTTCATTAATACTGGGAGAATAAACATTTTTGCATACATATACATTAAATTTTTTTTCTTTAACATTTTATTTATTTTTCTCATTAAACACTTAGTACATAGATTGTTTTATGACATTAGTTAACAACAACCCCATGACATGTCAGTACTCTATTTCTTGACCTTGGGTTCCCTATTTCCAGATTTCCTGTCCTCTCCTGCCTTCTAGTCCTTGTCCCTGGGCTGTTGTGTCCCTTTAGTCTCATCTTGTTTTATGGGGCTGTCTAATTTTTGGCTAAAAGGTGAACCTCTGGAGTGACTTCGTTACTGAGCTAAAAGGGTATCTGGGGGCCATACTCTCAGGGTTTCTCCAGTCTCTGTCAGGCCAGTAAGTCTGGTCTTTGAGTTAGAAATTTGTTCTACATTTTTCTCCAGCTCTGTCTGGGACCCTCTGTTGTGATCCCTGTCAGAACAGTCAGTGGTGGTAGCCAGGCACCATCTAGTTGTACTGGACTCAGTTTGGCAGAGACCGTGGTAGTTGTGGTCTATT